GCAGCAATACTGAATATTTTATCTTGGCCCTATACTATCATGACCAGACCATCAAACCTTTTGTCTCTTTTCACATGATTAAATTTTCTGGGCTCCCGGTCTATACTGATGTGACAAAGAATAGCAAACGTCTTCCCCAATTCAATTTTGCCAGGTGTCAAATATAGAGGACGACATTCTATGTGATGACAGTAAAATAATTGAATCCAAACACATAATAATATTCATGAAAACATTTACCAACGCTGTGTTTTATTGTTACTGTTTGCGGTCCTGGTTCGCGTTACACGTGTTATGAATAAAACGGTTCCTGTCCACATTGGGTCTTCTATTGTCCGTACCAACTTGCTCACACTTGATAAACCCTCATGTTTATGCTGAAGCTTGATTCCATTGTGGGTCTCTACGCAAAAGATAACTTTATTGTCTCTGTCAAGTTGGGTATTTTATAAAGATTTGAAATTTATCGCAGTTGATTTAGAAACATAGACGATGGCTTAATACATATTCATTTGTGGTAAGTTGTTTAAACACGTAATTCGAGCTCAAAATTCTATTTTCTCACCTCCCCTTATCGTAACAGGGAGGTAATAAAATAGACATCCATGTCTCCCTCATAGATGATCATAAACTTGCGTCAATGTCGTATTTTATCGCTTTTCAACGCAGCCGTTTACATTATTTCGTTCCCTACATTAGAACATTCAATAGATAAAAGTTATATAAAGGGCATGTAGGCCTATGGTATGTTTCACCTCTACTAGAAGGAAGTCGGACGAAAAAATATGCATTGAATTAAGTACCAGAGGTAAGTAACAAGGCACTGAGTTAATAAGCCATTTTCAGAATGTGTTTGTGCATCGTCAGTAGACACCGCTAAACAAACATTTCTGATATTTGACCGGTAAGTAATTTGTATGTATCTGTAGTTTTTTCGATGTGAGTTATTATTATCTGATAATAATATTAATATTGCAGTAGTAATGATGAGGAACATGGTGATGATCATAATAATGATGGAGGTCTGGTGGATATTTTTATATGACACCGTTCCAACGATTTAATTACTAGAATCGCCAGTCCACCTTATTATTTGTCTTGAGTTACCGAATTCAATAAATAAAAATAAAGATATATGTAGGCCTATATATAGGGGAGTTGACATAAAAATAATGATGAGTTGCACGTATATTCCAAATAAGTATAACATTTGAGTCAAGTACGAAAATAAATGATAAAAGGTTGACGTGTTACAAACATACAATATATATCTTTATTGAAAAACGTATATTTCGCCCTGTACCCAGGGCTTCTTCAGCGTTAAACATGACGTGTAGGCCCACCGGTAGTCAGCATGATCAGGGTACCTGCTGGATGGAATCAGCGATATACTCACATGCTTCCGTGGTCTAGTGGTATGGTACTCGCCGTGAGCGAGAAGTAGCATGTTCGAAAAGATACAAAATGATAAAGGGAGTGCATAGGCAAATAAATGTATAGGGCTAAAAATGGACCCTCATTCACTTGTATCGTTATAAATCACACATAATAGCGATAGATGTGTATGTTTATGTAGGCCTACACAGTAGCTGGTGCTAACACACTAGTGAGTTGAATGACATTAACATACACCCGCGATTGATACGTATGTTTATTTATGAACTTAAGTAGGCTACACAATATCATTTGGTAGATAACAACCCCAGTTAGGTGGCTGATATTAACACCGATGTGTAGATCCTTTATCGGATGCTATTAAACTAAATTTATCATGTTAATGTTTATAAGATAACATCATTCAATGTTTCTCAAGTGGAGAATAGGTCAGTAGGCCACGGGTTCTGTTAATTGCACAATTCATATTCATGAAGATTGAAGAAAGACTTGATCGAACAAGTCTTTTGTAATGTTTTATTGTGCTTTATATAATTGTTTATATATATATATGTTACTGTACTTGCAATTTCGAGAATAAATAAAGTTTTTGATTGATTGATTGATTGAATGCATAAAGTATAACATGTTTCTAACAAATTAAAACTTTCATTCCGGTTTACACGCAATTGTTATTGTTTTAAAATAATGATGAAATTAAGTAATGTGAATATTAACAATATGGATAGCCATTATTACTAAGTATTACTGGTACTATTACTGGTACTATTATTTTCTTCTTTGTTATTATCATTATTGTTTATATTATTAATTATCAAGATTTTACAATCTTAGTGAGTTCTATTTAGGATAATTTTGAATCCATTACGTCATGCTTACCGTATTATCAGTGATGAATTTCATACTTAACGCCTGCAGTAATAGGCCTATGATCAGTGACTAAACAAGCAAACTTTAAGCAATCGATACCTAGCTATAAGTATAGATCATTATTGACTAACCTACGTCTACTTGTAAACTTATCACTTATTATAGTTTGATATGATCAGGATTTCATAATGGTAATGTAATTTTAATCTGAGCGCTATTACTGTAAGAGATAATAGAAGTTGGGACCGTATTATTCAGTAGCATGAAATCCAAATGAAATAAATACAGTAGTACCTTATTTAGACTAACAAAATGTATTGGAACACAAGCTTTCGCTAGCTTCATCAGATGTACTAGTATCTCTTGTTAAACAAACAAATTGTACTTATCACTTAAACAAACGAGAGAGCCAACTTTTTTGTTGCAATCTCTGTGACATACGTGTCACAAAGCATCGGACAGTCGGGTAAGATTCATATTGTGTCTAGTTATCGATCTGATTCGAAATCGCAGGCCTACGTAACGGCGCCGACGATCGATACGAAGCCAAGGTCTGGAGTCAAGGTCTTGGAATATATTTTAGTTGTGGGCTAGTACAAACTATGTACAACCGCAGGGTGAGTGTATCCATGTCGTGTAGAGCCAATGAGGTATCTTCCTTGGTTGAGGGATCAGTAAAGTTTTAAGAGAACTAGTGTTAGCATCGGGAGCTATTATTTTTATGTTGGATTTTGTCGATTGCACATTGAATTTCAAATGTAGTGCAACCTACTGGTAAGTAGAATGCTGATACAACTGATTTAATTCATTGTTAAGAATTTGAATTTGAAGTTAATTTCGAATTTGAGTTTGAACTTTATTTTATTTGAATTATTGTGAAGCTATTATTACCATTGTGATTATTATTATTATAATTATAATTAGCGTTTTTATTATTGTTGCTATTACTATTATTGTTATCAAATATAATACAATACCGTAGGCCAACAATAGTAATATTAATAATGATGTTAATGTTGATGATCATATTTGTAATGATCTAATAAGCATGATTATTGCAGCAGACATAGGCCCGATACATTTTCAAACCCATTGCACTTGAATAAATGAAGAGCAGTCCAAGTTAAATATTATTGTTAATGCTATACAACTTGATTTCTGTAATTATCGTCTAAAATTCAGGTCATAGTACAGCTCATTTATATGTGTTACTGTATATCTTGGCTGAAGAATATCTGAATTATTTTAATGAATGAATGAATGAATGAATGAATGAATGAATGCATACCATGTTATAGATTGTACGGTAGTAGCACATATTTGTGAAGATGTACATCAATTTACACTGGAGCCAAATAATAAGAAGGTCAATTGATTGATTGATTGACTTTGTTAGGAACTCATACAACACAATACAACATGTTAAAACATAATTCCGAAGACAGCACAAAAAAGTTGAAACTAATTTACAGTGGTCCTAACACAAAACGCTTTTCAAAACAATAAAAATAATTTTTTCAGTATGATAAAATTCTAATAAATGGTGTTATATAAATTATTAATCATTTCGAATACTATATTTAACATATTACTCTTAAAAATACGTTTAAAATGTAAAATACTGGAAGTTTTCTGAGTGATAGCTGAATGTTTGTTCCATTCTGCTAAGCCAATAACCCCCTGTGATTTTAAAAGAAAAGTACTCTTGCCGATGGAAGTTCTATGTCTAGGAATAATTACGGAAGTCTCACTCGCTCGTGCACTAATACTGTGTATATTTATGATAGGAACTTAAACAATTCTCCAAACATGCTGGACCACTGCCATATATAAAATACATTAATGTTAATTAAATGTAGGCCTAAATATAGGAACCGTTACACATTTTGCCTATTCAACATAACCAGTCAAGTGGAAAGTGCGTGCGAATAGTCAATACGAACAAGGTTGTCGAAATATCCATTCACAAATATTGATTGTGGAATTTATGAAAAGATTTAATGAAGACAACAAATAATCAGTGTTGGACCTGCCAAATGGATGTAAACTTTGTGGATTAATATATTATTACTGAATGGTCTCCTTGGTGCTTAATGGGTAATTAGTTAAGATAGTCTCTACCAAAACCTAGACCTTCGAAAGATATTTTAGGTCCTACTCCTCACCCATTCGTCTATCCATCGATATTGAGGTTTTTGTTAGTCGAGTGTCAGTTAGTAGGTTAATGTTCGCCACACCTACTGCATCATTAGGGTTAATTTTATAGACACGACGACTTTGAAACACGGAGAAGAAAAATAGTCGATGACAGTTCCACAGCACATTATTCTATTCGTCGTACGCTCGTCTGTCCGCACAGTTTTAAAAGGCTCAAGCGTGCTGTCAGCGCTTGACGACTCGTGCTGTCTGCGGATTGTTTCGCCGCTCTGCGTTCTCTGGATTCGCGTCGGTCTGGCTGTATAAACAGCGGCGAATGTCCTGTTGAGGATTATTTTGATTTTAAGGCATTTGCTGATGAGTTTGTTCGTTAACATTTTCTCCAACAGTGTAAATTAAAAAATAAAATCCAAAATGGATAACTTAGTAGAGGGTTCATTGTTCATTTAACGTCAGTTTAATTTGTTATATCTCTTTATAGATGCCATTGAATGGCACTTAGCTGACACGTGACCAACGAACACTGCCATCCAAACCTATTAGGCCTATCGTTTTACAGTTTGTTACACCAGACGATCGCCATGTCTCTCGACATTCGTGGACGCCTGGACGTCGAAAAGGTTAAAACCGGCAAAGATATGCCGACAGAAGAAGGAAGGGGTATAGGTTACTATGATGACAGCATGGCAAAATTAGCCAATCAGGAAGAGGATGAAAGATTGACGGAAGCCATGGATACGCTTAATCTCCAAAAAACCCGTATGCTAGCAGATAGCAGACATGAACTTAAGACTGTGGATAAGACCCTTCGGAAATTACAGAATCAGAAGAAACTACTCCGAAGGGCTACCCTTGAAAATGTTATCAGTGGAGTAAACAAACGAATATTTTTCAAATCATTACAATCAATTTCTGAACCAGATTCAGCAGAAAGTGACAATGACGACGATAAGGTAAAATTAAATAAATGGTCGATAAGCATAGGAAAATATATTTTAATTCTTATGATAAACTATCTCTGGAATAGAGTCGTGGTCGTAGTGATAATTGAAATCGGGCATTGTATTTATTTATCACTAAATACCTTATATATACATACATATAGAAATCGACCAATTATTATGATTATATTGCGGCTAATAGCCCTAAAAGAAGTTTTCCTAACACACTAACACACAGTACATCCAAATTCTCTTCAACGTATTCACTTATTTACATTAAACCTTAGGCTTTTGCCGTAATTAGGTAGGTCAATGGAAAGATTAACATTCGAAAGAACTTGGAAATCGAATGCACAATTGATTGAAAATTTATATTAGATCATTAACTACAATCAAAGTATGCATCCCGGGGGTGGGGAGGTAAGATAGTATAAATAATATTTATTAAAAAAAAAAAAAGAAACGGGATTTATCTTACCATTCTCTGTACCATAGGAATACTAAATTGTTCGTTGTCAATTTTTTTTTGCAGGACTTGCCAAAGAGCGAACCAAGGCCACCAGAAGCACTCATTGCGAACCCATACGTGTACCCCGGATTTCCCGGGGGTTCGACATCAACTGAGAGCCTGTCTACCTATGATAATTATTGGTTGAGAAGACGCGGTATTAACCCTCCTCTAAGTGCAAGACCAGTGTCAACTAAAGTATTTAATGAAGCCTACACAAACGACGTAAAGACAAATGGTGCAACTAATAAACACCGAAAATTAAGTCGACAAAAGACTTTTCATAATTTAAACAATAACAATGAAAGTGATTCCACGACTAATCCAAAAGAGGGGGAGCATATCCCCACCAGGAGGAAGGTTCGCCCTAAAACATCTACAGGACATAACGCACGAGGGCGAAGATCATCATTAACCAGTAACCAAAGCAATCGGAATGCACGCCCTCATACGGCAAAAGCAGACGGTCACAGATATCGATCGAGGCGAGAATTAACTCAGTTGACACACATAGACGCAATTGCGTCAGCGGATAGAGAATATCGCCGGAACGAATGGCTTGAAGCTAAATCAGTATTAAAAGCAGATCATGATCGAATGTTAAGGAGGAAAGTGCAATCATTTTTAGAAAAAATTGAACGAGATAAAACGAAGTTTGATTCTGATGCCAACGGCAGTGTAACATTTTTGGACATGAAGATACTTTAATCATGAACCACACGTTTCAATCAGGCCCTAGAGGAATTTCTTAGTTATAAAATTGCCACCTGAAATCAAATAAGTGAATGAATTACAGTACTTCGAAAATACTAAGAAATCTGAAAGTTAACAATTTTACAGATGTACGACCTAGTAATCGAAACCAGTCTGTAGACTAGACCCCTACTCTCCGCCAAAACATCTATTTTGACTTTATATTATATAGGCCTAATAGGCACGAGAAAACCGACTGGGGTGGGGGAGTGGACCCCTTGTCGGGGAGCTCGGACCCCTAGTCGAGGAATTCCTGGCGCCGCCCCTGATTTTCAATACGAAACGATATACTCAACAACTGATTGCACATTAATGTTTCTAATAATGGAGGGATTTTCTCAATACCAAATTTTATTTCATGTTGTAATATGAACGAACGAACAAACGCCAGTGTAAAGCTCAATATTTAAAATATTTCCCATATAAACCATTAAGCGGGATGGTTGATCGATTACTGTATGTACGCTAAGTTACAAAACGGCTACGGTGTAGCAGACTTTTTAAACTCAAAATCCTACCATGAAAGAACAAGCTTCCCGCGCGAAACAACCAGCAGAATGTTGAATGTGCTGTATTGAAGCTTCGAATCAATAACACATTGGAATACACTTATTTTCTTCCCAACGTCTTGGGAACAAAATATCTGTATTTTAATGTGGTATTCGGATGAATAACACATTAGATTACACATATTTTGTTCCCAAGCCGTTGGTAAATAATAACTAATAAGCCTACATGGACTACTTTTCGATGAATTTGTAATTTCTCCAAAATAAGCAATTTTGAAAATACTTTCAGGAAGTTTTTCACTCAGGTGTATCTTTTATATGATTTAAAATAATAACGTTCAATAAAATAAAAAAAAAAGTATAGCTCCTCCATTACTTTTGTTTTCAACCAGAATATAATTTATAGAATAGGCAAAGAGGAAAAAATAACCCATGTACAAAATTTAAAAAATGTGCACGGCTTGAGATAGAAAAATAACGTGAATAGAGATAAAAAATCTGATATAAAGTTATGAGTATCGTGAAGATGATGTTCTCGTCTTTCCAACGACACCAAGATTATGAGTTCTGTCAACATCATCGTCTTTCGTCTTAAACATCTTCATAATCAAAATAATCTACATATTTTTATCATCAACGTCGTCGTCATTATTTTCATCGTCTTGTGGCTTAAACCGAGGTCAATTTCACTAGAGTTTTGTCTAATATGGTCTAATGATGCTCTGCTTTAATTGTAGTTGGACCTTTATTTAGGTCCCGGAAACTACAGTATATCATTATATCAGACAGGCCTACAAAACCTATGAATGGGCCATGCGACGTTCGATATACCTCCATGGAAGCACCAAGCCCGGGGATGGGGTGGTTTGTTGGTGTGACTTGTAAAAAATAGTTGAACGAATGTTTGGTCACCAAGTTAGCTATGCTCAAATATATACGCCGCTGTTCGCACATGATGGCTAGGCCTATGGCTTTCAATAATCTCACTTAGTCTCATCTGATCACATCTCGGTTAGGATAATTGCCTTCCAATCCCAGGGGCATAAGTTCAAATCCAAGCAAGTGACAAATTTTGCTGATGACCAAATCAATCTATTCCATGGCCAGGCTTCATAACACGACATGCGGTACATCATGTGTAGGGGCCTATTATATCTTCACTAATGGTTTGCCTATTATAGCAGTGATATACTCGCTGTTCACAGATTCTATCCATGTGCCTATTATACATGAATAGCAATTAACAAATATTTAGGAGCATTCAATCATGTAGGGATACGCGAGTTTAGTCCTCTATTATTTCTATTCAACAAAATCCAATCGAATAATGCATTAACAATTATGTGACTTTTCGAGATTTTACCGGCAATGTACATTTTATGTAGAATCGGAGACAGTGTATGAATGGAGTGTAATTCAATATGCTATGCATCGATACATTCCCTTGTTGTCACAAGGTAGGTTTTGGTTGAATTATATTTTTATGCAGATAATTGTATGTAATATTAATTCTTACTGGTGGCAATGATGTTTAGCTGAAGATGTATGCAGCATGGCTTAGGGAGAGCGTTAGAAGCCTGGTTTTAACCTCAATACAACAATACGCCAGACTCAAAACAGAAGTGCATGAACGTTTAGATTATGTCAAAACCATCCCAGTGAGTAGGCCTACCGTTACAATGAGTGAGTAGGCCTAGTGAGTGAGTGTATCTGCCGGAAAATTGTGCCATTGTAGCATGGACATGGACCTATTTATTAAAAGGTCCATGATTGTAATAAAAGGAGTCCTCGACTTGAGAGTCAATTTTTTTTAATAGGAGCAATCAAAGCACCATTACATAACATCGGTGTGCCTTTTTTCTTCGTTGTATTCTTAATTGGCATCATTAAAATTAAAGAAAATAAATTACATAATGGAATAAATCTAAATGCTATGTAAATGCAATAGGTCAGAGGAGATTGGTTAAAGCAAAGTCCATGTCGCGTTCAGTGACATTAGGCCCGACAAGTCTGTATTTATATATTTTTTAATTAATTATTTAAATGAAATTAATTTATTGTGTTGAACGTTCTGTCTGTCCATTCACTGGATTACATAGGCTACGTGTTCATAACCCACGCGTTTTGGGTTGTTTTTATAACGATGGCCAATTAGGTCTGCTGTTCAATTTACTTCCATCCTTGAGAGGTCTACCGTACTCAACTATCCGAAAGATTGTTGATGCTGACCCTTATTAGACAATCTATATTTACGTCTCCATCTAGAAAAAGTAATTAATATCACTCTGTTTATTATGAGTCTAGAGACGAGATTATAAGGTCTATTCGTTTAGGCCTACGCGGAAATGGGTTAGGCGTATTTTAAGGATTCGGGCGATAGTGAATCCGGTGTTAATCTATTCATCACGATAGCGAGTAATGAAAAACAAAAGTGAAAATGTTCGTGCAGATTCATAGAATGAACATCTATTTTCTTCTAAAATTTAAGTACACATGGAAAGTCCATAGGCCTATATGGAGTTTATGTTGCATTGTGTCGTGTGTGTGTATGAATGTATACTGAAGTCTATTCCATAGTATTTCTTTATAGTTTTTTTTATATTTTCTACAATGAATACAGAAATCCATACGAGGCCTACGATATGTCTGTATCTATTAATGTATTAATCTAAGAACGTGTGTCTGAAATCATTAATCAATTAATTAATTAATCAATTAATCAATCAACAATCAGTCAATCAATCTGCTTAGGCGTATTGGTATACCTAAGTCTATATCAGAAATCCTTCATTGATACATTACACATACCTTATAATATATTAGGACTAATTAATAAAGATATAAAGTACAAAGACAAATAAGAAAGACAAAAATATAATAAATAGCTGCAATAAGTACATTTGAAAAGTCCCGTGTGTATTTTCTTAGACAACTTAATTACTTTAAGGTTGACAAAACAATTTTGAAATTGTTTTATACAGCGGTCATTGAAAGTGTTCTTGTTTTTGGATGAGTTTGGTTTGGTAATGGTAGAGTGTCTGATATAGATAGGCTAAGACGAGTTGTTAGACATGCTGGCAAAATCATGCAATCACATGTAAATATAAATTTCAAATCCAAATTCTTCTTTCAAATTTTAATGTATTTGAATACTATATTTTATATATATTTATTTTTTATTACTGTATGCACAATTTTGATATTTTTAATATGCAATGAATTGTTTCCGCTCTGCTTTTCCTTTTTAAAATTGGACAATAAAATTGAATTAAATTGAACCCTACCAGGGCACAGTTGGTTGGTTGAAAATCAAGTAACTCTTACAACAAAGGGTATAAAACTGCAAGAGGTCTGACTGCCCTTATTTTGTATACAGGCAATGGAACGTTAAAAAGTACTCCCACGAAGGGGCGTGTCCTTCATAAGAACGTAAAAGGCGCTCGTATCGAACGCGTGCCGTATTTCGAATTCCAGCAAAGACGCGCACCACGCGTTCGATATGAACGCACTTTACGTTCTTTTAAAGGCCACGCCCCTTTTGGGTAGTACTTTTTGAAATAGGATTGCGTTCCAAAGAATCCCCGGCAGTCGGACCTCTTGCAGTTTTATACTCTTTGCTTACAACCAAATAAATTGTATGTACAGTAATTACACAATGATATTGATAGTGATAATAACAACGATAGTGATCATGATAAAAAAAAATTTAAAAGTAATATAGGCCTAATATTGATTATTAATGATAAGAAAACAAACATAATTAACAGAGTAAGTCTAGTGAATTTAGCCTATTGTGCGTAATTACAGTATTATTATTAATTTATGGTGTGTAATTACAGTACAGTATTATTATTACTTCTACTATTAGATGTATAAGCGTGTATAAGCATTTCCGTGCGTGCATACACTTAGGCCTACTCTATGTAGAGCATAAATGCTTTTCTTTTAATTTTGTTTTTATATTCTTAAGTATTCAAATAATTTCATTTGGTTTCTGTTTATGTATACTGACTGAAAACTTCAAAGTGTAACCGAGGCGTTGGCATACTTTGCTGCGTTCCCGGGCCGATATCGTCGGACCTTCGTCGGGCGGTACGACTGCCTGGGTGCTGGTTGTCTTCTACAGTGTCGAACAGCACCCGCCGACAGGGAAGACAGCTATCATTCGGCTAGCTGCGTTGCCTTGCGGGGGGTCCAGTGACGTCGGTTCGGAGCGTTGTGGGGTGAGTTAGCGTATTAAGTTTGCTTTGCACGACTTTTCAAACCAGTCATATTTTCTTATTTTGTTTCAGTTTATTTTAATTTGATTGGCGGCTGGGCAATAATGTAATTTGAGTAATGTGCAAATCTCTTTTGTATTTAAGAATTTAATTTTATATATTTGTTGCTTACAATTTGTTTTGTTTTTTTTTTTGTTTTTTGGATGCACCGTTAGCTTTTTTCTAACGTGTGTCACTGTTATGAAAGTGTAATCCAATCAATATTGTATTGTATTGTATTGGTGCACAGTAATTTTAAAATCGTTAACTGAATTAAATTGATCTCGGTACGGGCACCATAAACATGGCAGGCACATAATTTGCTAGAATATACTGGATTGCGTAATTGGTTGGAAATGTATTGGTGCATCTATTCTGGCTTGGACTCTCAACCTTGAGGTCAGGAGGATCGAAACTCTTG